CAGCAAACTTATGACAATTAATGTCTCCCCTATCGAGGATAATTGCCCGCTTGTGCATTAATTACTTCATGGCCAGCGTGCGGGCCGTGACCTGCTGAACTTTGGTCACACGTGCTGGAACTGGGCGTAATAATTGCTCGGTCATCTGGCTCCTTGGCCCTGGCGTTAGACGAGTTGCGGCTCATTCGACGAGACCTGGCCACACATTCAAATTTGATGAGGCCGAAATTCTCCCGAAAGGTGCCAGTAGTGTGAGTAGCGAATTATGTGAGTCATGTTTAACGGGCCTCCAGTCTACAACAAAAGCTTAATACATATTCGGCCCTGAGGCTCAGTTTGACTAAACCATGTCGCCACATGGGAACGCACAGGTTAAAGCGTCGTCTAACGCCAGCACCAGGGAGCCGGATGGTCGAGCAATTATTACGCTCAGTTCCACCAACTGTGATCAAAGTTCAGCAGGTCACGGCACGCACGCTGGTCATCAAGTAATTACCGCATAAGAGTGCAATTATCATCGATAGGGGAGCTATTAATTGTAATAAGTGCGCAGTATCATAGTGACTGTACCCTGTTAATACTGCAACTCCGTGTGTATGAACTAGCCGTTTCTGTTACTGTCTCGGATGATAGATCCGTGAAGGATTTCGAAACGTCAAAGAATAAAAGTCTTGTCCCAGGGATCACACCGACTTCTTGTCAGTAACTACAATATTCGGTCAATCACAGTTCACAATAAATGTTTTTCTTCATATCATCGAACTTTCCAGAATGGTATCTAAGAAACGACCGATGCGTATAGTAGGACGCGCGATTTACATGGCTGCGTGAAGAGTTTCTCAAGTCTATATTAAATCCTTCTGGGTGAAGGAACGCTTGTGGCTTCCTCGCGGTTTTCTTTGAAATAGCTCTGTTATCGGCAGACTGGTTTAACACATTTAAAGTGAAATTTTCCTTAATACGAACAGAGCAGTCTGGGAACGGACGTTTCAACTGCCCTCGCTGCCTCTGCGTTTCATCGTCAGTTGAACACTTTCTACGTTTTTTCAGTGGTCAGACGATTAAAAAACCGGTCCACTTATTGTGCAAGGCAATACTGATTCCAGTTGATCGCTTTTTGATTGCCCAGTGTCTCTATAATTGTCACGGTGGTAAAAATAAGGGTGCCTGAGGTCCAAAAATATTTATACTTATATACAAGCCATGGGTAATTTAGTAGGCGGAGTTATGTTTACTACTGCACCCCAAAACTCGGAAATCTTAAGCTTCCTGTGATTACTTTTAATTGTATTAGTTTTATTTTCAGTTTAGCTTTGAGTTTATTGCTTAGTTTAATAGTTGTATTTTAGTTGTAGTTTTAGGTAGCTGAATATTTAATTTACTTTAATTATTTAAGTGACATACGGTTGCTTTTCGGCTTATCGCCCTAAAATATCTCTCCATATGTTTTAGAAACTATTGCAAATTTTAGAAAAAAGGGGAAAAGCCTATCATGCATGGTTTTATTTTAATCTCTAAATTTCGACTTATTTGCACGCCTATCGGCAAGTAATTTTGCGCAGTTCTTCTTTCCTAGTGGTTGTATTTGTCATATTAATTATCACGCGTCAAATTTTCGGTTATTTGTATAAGTATCTTTTATTATTTTCTGTTTTTATACGCTCTACTTCTGCTGCTGTTTCCTACTCATGTCTCTGATGATGAGTTTGCGACGGATGTCGAAACATCAGGCGAATAAACGTATTGTCCCAGCGATCGGGTCCTCTTCTTCTCACGCTCTACTTCTTAAGCTATCTTTTTCCTGCAGTACGAACTAACCGCAAAACCCCTATTAATACCACTCCCGTAAGACATTATCCTGGGGCTAGGAATATCTAAGTACCTCGGATGACTTCATTGTTGCCGTAAAGGCTTTTTTTAACTTTCTAGGGCTCTGCTGTTGTCCTGTAAATAATGCCATTTTGAAGTTTTACGTCCTTTTGTTCTTTGTGTTATGTAGCGCAAGAATGGCGCGACTGGGCAGAGGATGGACGGTGTGCCTGTACAAGAACCAATCAATTATTGAGCCTGGCGGTCATTGCTATATAATGGACATGCTTAGCGCAAACGAGCTTCCCCAGGACTGGCCATTCCTCGCAGGTCTTAGTTACGATCAGAATTTCCTCGTAACGGGAATGGACCTCGAACCCCTGGACGTTGGACCACCTTTCGAGGGGACCCGACGTGACAGTGAAGCTTACAAGTCCATGTAAGTTTTTGCAGGCTTGGAATGCGGACAAGTTACTGCCGAGATTGTTCATCAGTTACGCTGCGCAAAGTAAAGTTGGTTTTTTCAGCACCTACTGCATATTTCTGACTCATGCCTTGGCATAGGGATAGGAAAACTTCAGCCGTGGAAGGGTCCGGCCTTGCAACCTAGACTTTTTATTACTAAATCTTTAGCCAAACGAGTTGTCACTAGGTAATGGTTCCCCGTCTCGTTGGCAGCGGTCAGGAATGTTAAAATCCACTTAGGAATTATATTTTTCGTTCTATGTGGGCTGCTAGATGGAAATGACTTTTTATATTTTTCTTCGGATCTCTGGCCTAACGCTTTCGGAATTTATCACATAGCGATGATTAAACAGTAACGTAAAGGTTATGTTGCCAAACCGCTCATGGCGAAAATGGTTGTTCCTTTCCTTAAGAGAAATAGACGCGATTCCCGAGGAAGTGGTCTTACTGTCTTGATATTTCGGATTCATTATAGAGACGTGACCAAATCATTAATCTCCTCAAGTATGGGTGGGTTGCCAATAGCGAAAGACCTCTAACTGCTTAGCAAATAGATACTGTGGATACTGAACCCCTATGCATCTGCCTCCTTTGCCTGTTTTCTTCCCCGTTAATGGTTTCGGAAGTAAATCTGAAAATTCACGTGAATACAGTTGTTGTTCCGTCGATCGCATATTCATCTTTATAACTACTACCTGCAACTGGTCTTTTTTAGCTTTATAAGCATTTCTCATTGTTTTGCGGTTACCATGTGTCAACTTAAGCAAAACGGTGACTGCCGATACATAATATATATATAATATAGTATAGTACGTATTATATATAATACCTATAATATATATAGTGGTG